AATGGTGTTTAAGGACTAATGTTTAGATTGAGTTTTATATAGATTATTCACATTCAAAGAATGATCTCAATGAAGCACTAATAGTTCCAAGTATTCCATTATTTAAGATCACATCAAGGAAAGAAATAGATACAAATAAGACTTGAAGCTGCAAGGAAAGATAGCTTGGACTACAATGAGGCAGAAAGCAACTCAAATGAAGAAAGAAGACAAGAATACCTCAATGCCTAAAGATCATGGACAAAGTTTGAATAAAGGGGTAGATCGGATGGTGAGTGTTTAGGATTTAATGTCAAAGTATTTATGAATCCATTTGAAGCTCATCCCACCATGCATATCATTACATTATTCATATGCTCCTATATCCATTAGCAATAGACTATGCACTTCATTCATATATAATTGACATGTGGAGTCTTTGCTAAAGAATGAGTTAGTTCAAGCTTGCTTAAGCTTTAAAAGAACTCATCACTTGTGCTAGAAATGCTAAGACCATGCATATCAATCACATGATTCATATTGATCAACGATTAAGGCATATGAAGCCTTCATTACCATGAGTTGGTAACGATATTAGGACCCCAGAATGCGCGTCATGAAAAACTGTATTTAATGGGGGTACTTCCTTATTTACAATACTGTAAATACATTTACTTAAATGTTTTCAATGAAAATAAGATATGCAAAAAGTCTAAACTGAAAACAAAACTGTCAAGACAGATTTTATGTCTATCAGCCGACTGGTGATAATGCCCAGTATGTGGCAGTCGGCCGAAAGGAAAATAGAGAGTTCGGATTCTGAGAGTCATCGTTTCGACCAAACAAAGCGGAGAGTCAGCCGATCGACAAGGCACTTTCAGGCGACCGAAAATGTACCATCAGCCGAGCGACACTGGGACAAATTTGAAATAACGACTAGTTTGACCATAGAACCTTATGGGACTTTACTATATTGCCCCCAAACGGATTTATTCTTCAATGGGGCTATAAATACACAATGTTTGAACATTGTGGCATGCAAAAGAACTAACACTTGAGAGACCTTATTAGGCATTAAAGAGAGTTTTTGTTCTCACATTTTCTCTTCATCTCTCTCATTCATTCATATACTAATCTTGAGAGATTCTATTAAGGATTCAAATGGCTTTTGCTCTTATTCGAATCTTCGTAGAGTTTTTGCTCTATTATACATTTGAGAGATTCTATTGAATTGATAAGAGTTTATATTATTCACTTATATCATCTTCTCTAATTCATTTTATTCATAGAGTTTGAGCTTCACGCATATTCATCAATACTCTAATTGTGAGTTGAATTTTGTATATCTATTTTTGAAATATTTCTTGTACTTCTTGTATTTGTTACAATCTATTATAAAGGGTTTGTGTAACCCAAAGAAAGATTAAGGGAATGTTGTTCTCTTAGTAAGGTGAAGCAAGGAGTTGCTTCATGTAAATGTTTGCTCTTCACCCGTAAGAAGAAGTTATAGTGGATTGGAAAGTCTCAAGAGGAGTCTTGAGCCGAGGAGTAGGAGTTTTCGAACCTCGCTAAAATTGCCGAGTCATTGTTTGCAATTTCCCTTCCCTTACATCTTTTACAATTGTGTTAATTAATTGTTTACTTTCATATCTTGATTATTGCATAATTACTTAAGTGGTTGATTAAAAATTGTAAACCTATAAATTGCAAAAATTGACAATTAACTCTATTCACCCCTCCCCCTTGAGTCAATTCTTGGGTAATAGTAAAATTAAAAATCTTATTTTATTATTATGCTCGAATAGTAAATAAAATATTATTTTTATAAAATATATGTATTTTATTATAATCGAATAGTAAAATTAAAAGTTTTATTTTATTATTTTATTAATTTTCAATTATACTCAAATAGCGGAGTAATAGAAGAGTCATTTTTTAAATTTACCAAACATATTTTTTCTTCTTTCTTTAAAAAATTCAATAAGTTTCTATTTTGGTTTTGACAAAAATGACAGTATAACTTTTCAAAACTTGTCATTTTCACATAAATGAAAGCACAGTCAAAAATAAAAATCATAATTTTACCAAACAGGCCCTAAGGCTCAACATTATGTCATTTTGGCAAAAATATTCGAATACTCGGCTAAAACAACTTAGCACAATGAAGGACCTCTCTATATAGCATCAAAAGGTTGGCATTGATGATACTTAAGTTTAATATTTTGGCTAGAGTATTTGGTCTACGTATCATTTTTAATATATATATTTTTTTTTTCTTAATTGTGGTTGTATAAAAAGAAAAAATATATATATATATACAGGTGCACAGAAGGCATCCCCTCAGAAAGATTAAACTCTCAAGAGAGATTGGATACAATTATCCACTCCCATAAACTGAGAAAATAAAATAAAAAACATTGGATTAGTGGATAAAAAACCCACTACCACAACATAAAGAAAACAAATAAAACAGTTACCAAGAACTGTTTGCAAAATAAAAAATCTCCAGCAGCAAAAACAACGACCAACGACCAAATCAGCCATGACAGCACAGAAAATTAACTGATAGTATCTTGAAGATTAGCTTTGTGAACTGTAAGAACTTCAAACATTATTTGTCTAGCCACTGAAACGGTAGAAGTACTACCTCTAGTATGAAATCTAGCATTTCTTTCCTTCTATATAGCCCACAAAGAAGCAGTAAATAAACTGCGAAGTGTCTTTGAATTCTGAAAGTGATTATCACACCAGATGAAAAGATCCCAAACTGTAGAAATTTCTGCAAAAAGTGGCATATTCCAATTCAAAACATCACCAATCCATTGCCAAAAATTCTTATGATCCATAGTGTCCAGATCATGTAAACAAAGAGCACATCTGGCAACCAATGTAATCCTTCGCTTCTGCAAATTCAACATTGTAGATAGCTTATTTTGCATAACAAGCACTGCTAGTAGAGACCACAGAGGCCTGGCCTTGCCCCAAACCATTTTATGCCATTGCACTTCAACTTCAGAACTTCGACAACATTCATATGCTCTCTTAAAGGAGAAAGCATCCCCATCCCATAAAAATTTATCTGGTTTAGTAGAAACTGGAACTGTGTGCAAAAAAATTCGAAAAGGAGTGAAAATTTCATCCTGTAACACAGGAATATTCCATCTTCCAGTCTGAATAAGACATTGTAACAACGCTTCTCTGTGAAATGGTAACCTTTAGCAAGTCTATGACCAAATTTTTATTTTATTTTTTCTTATTTTCAAGGAAAGATTGAAAATTAGTCTCTAAAATAACAAATGAGTGTGTGATACGGTATATGATCATATGGTATTATCGCATAGTATCAGTTTCATGATAACTAATATTTTAATAAAACTGACATTCCTAGCCGAGTTAATCCACAAACACTCGTATGCATCTCAGATGAAATGATTCACAACTTAAATCTGGTTTTCTGACTTTATTGTCGAGATATAAAAAATACTCTATTTGGTCTAATTTTATTATTATTAATTTTACCAAAAATTTGACGTAAGCGGTCGCATGATATATATTTTTTAGCCTCAAGCGATCACAATAATCAAAATTAACAAATTAATTAAATATGTTATGCTGAACCAACAAATATTTTATAATTATTATGGTAGTGTTAATCCATTTAACAAAATACACGAAACCAACGCACTCACTCACATAACTGATGTCTGAATAGTGGAAAAAAAATCATTTCCAGTTACTTTCTCACTGGATTAATTCTCACGAGATTAATTCAATAAGGGGTAAAAAAATTGTCTTGGCGGTTCAGTTAAATTATACACAATAGGTAGTATCTATTATGTAATGAATTGACTTTCGCCTCATGGATTTCACTTGGTTGAAATTTGAACATCCTCCAGAGAAAGACTGAAAACCCTAAAAAAAAAATAAGAATCTGGGATAATGACCCAAAAGAGAAGAATAACTATAGGAAAAAAATGCATATATATATATATATATATATGAGTCTTGATCTCTTGCTCCACGTGGAGTAAGAAAATTAGTCATTTTTCAAACTCACTTATATACTTTCCTTTTAACACAAAACCATTATTTTTAGTTTTCATATTTAATTTTATCATTAACAAATTCAACAAGAGAATTTGTGCCAAACGCACCTCCTCAAAATCTAATCGAGCTAGTTTGAAATAGAAAGAAATTTTGTTCAAACTTTAAATTAAAATTTCTCTAATTTCAATTTCAATGTATCAATTCGATATTCCAAAATGCAACATTATAGTATACCTGTTAGTAAATTTACTTATACTGGACAAGTATATTTATTTGAATTTCAGTATGTACACATGCAAAAAAGACCACATACTATTGAACACTGAGATATACAGTAAGCATGACAAGAAGATGTTTGATCTAATATCACACTATTGTTGCATTCTACTTAAGTTTGATAGCAAATTTAAAAGATATGGGTAATAAACATGTATTATTTTTCTTTAAAAAACAAATTTTAGTAATATATATACGGGTATTATCTTTCTTTCAAATATTTTTATTTTTATTTTGGTAAATCGTAGAATTAAATATGAAAACTTGAAATATGGTGAGAGTCTTTTTATGTTAAAAGAAAAGAATATGAGTAGGTTTGAAAAATGACCGTTATATTTAATCTAACTATTCATATAGAAAGTGTAGATTAATTTTCTTACTGCATAGGAAGCAAGATATCATAACTTTACACACACATGTATACATATATTATATATTTGTTAATTTTGTTTCTATTGCCTTAATTTCCTTGACACATAGTTGTATATATATAAGTATTGCTCATAATATTATATAAAATATAAAGTAAAGTGATATTTTTTTATTTTTTTTAGAATGCGACAGCAATTGGAGATGATTTTTTTGACCTGGGTAGAGCCACCCACAAATTTTAGAATGCCACAAAACGCGACCCACAAACACAATTTTGAACCCGGATTTAGCCCTACCTTTTTGAGCGCATGGAGGCTAATACCGCTAGTGGCCCATTGGTTCGGGCCGAAAAAGTTGGCCTCTGTTCATGCTATAACAACTATAAACACACGACTCGCCCTTGTACTCTCTCCACTCAACAGCAGTGTCCCTAGTCGAAAATGGCGGCCACAATCTCTCGCAGGCTCACCTCTAACCTTTTCAAACCCTCTCACTCATCATCTTCTTTTTCCTCAACCTTCACCAATTTCATCTCCAAACAGACCCAACACCCCAATCCTAACCTTACATCAATTAGATCCTTCTTCATCATCCAAGATTCCTATTCCAGTTCCTCACAATTCCTATCACAAAAGCCTTCAAACCCTAGTTTCACTCCCTCCAACTTCACCATAAACAAATTCCAATCATCACCGATCGAAAAACCCTTAATTGTCAATCATATTTTGATCCGACCACACTCCACTTCAAGTCCCAATTCCATAAACCAACTGCATTTGCTTGAGAAAACCCCAAAAAACCCTAACCCTAACCCTAATGGATTATTATACAGAACACCCAAGTACTTCTCAACCACTGATTCGTCACCTGAAAATGAAAAACCCCCAAATCCTAGTCAAGACCCTAGTCAAACCCCCGAATTCAAGCACCAAGAGATCACCGGACCGACGGTGGAGCGTGACGTTTCGGCGCTCGCCAATGAGACTCGAGAGGTGCTCGAGAATATGATGAAGACCATCTATAGTCTGAGCCAGGGTTTAGCTCTTCTGGGTCTGGTCCATCTTGGATTGGGAGCTTGGATTTCCTACATTACTCGGTCTTCGCCGATCCCCGAGGTCTCGATACAGAGTGTTTTGGCATTTGGATTCCCATTTTCGATGGCATTCATGCTGAGGAAGTCGCTGAAGAATATGAATTTCTTCAGGAAGATGGAGGAGATAGGTAGGTTGCAGATTCTAACCCTAACTCTTCAAATTGCTAAGAATTTGAATACTTTTTTCGTGCGAATTCGTGGGGTTTCGTATTTGTGTATTGCAGGGGCCTCAATTGGGTTGGTGTTTATTGCCTCGAGATGATTTACAGTGCAACTTTATGTGTTTGTTGGGTTTGGTTGAGTTTTATATTGGTAACAATGTGGAAGTGTAGTTTGATGGACAATGTACTTTGATCTAAATTTTGGATTCTTTGGATTCAATAAAACTAGTAGTACTGCTCCTTTTATGAATTAGTCAGTTTTGTAATTGCAGAAATTTATTTTATGAAATCATGACAAGTATTACAATGAAGCTTTAATGTTGAAATTTGATATTGAGTGTCACAATGCATTGAACATAGTGCGGTAAAGTATGTGTTTTTATTTTTATTTTTATTGGATTGACAATTAGGTGATGTGTTCTTTGTTTCATTTTCTACCTACGTCAAATTTATTGATAACAGGATAAGCCACATTGATCTTTTCTGCAACTTAGGTTTTCAGAGGACTACTCACCATCCGAACAAAAAAAGAAGCCTAAGCTTTTAGGTAGTATTGCATACCCGCCCTTACTTGCCCACAAATTTCCCCATCTGAATACGACGTGAACAAGAATCTCTAACAATTTAGCCTTGAAATGCTGTAAATCCATGATTTAGTCATTTCCAATCTATCTCACTCTCTGCCCTAGACTTCCCTTTCTTAACAACTTTAGCACCTACTTTAAAATAGATGTTCTTAAAGTAAGGATATGTGCACGTTTCAACAATTTTTATTCTCATTAAACAAGGAAAGCAATCCACAGCTGGAGTTGAAATGGTGGCCCTTGATGCACAAGATGATGTATACTCCAGGAACAGTTCTTAGTTTGTTAACTTATTCATAAGTCAGGGAGTCGAATTCAGTGCTTCAAATCTACCCATATCCAAAGGACGGGGTGGGTCGAGGTAGTTCTGAGGTGCAAATTCTGCATAGGAAGATGTTACCAGGATAGTTGAAGATGTTACCAGGATGGTTGAAGATGTTGTTAGTGTAACTACTGTAGTCTATAAGGAGTCCTGCCAGAGACATAGGCACAAATACTGTCTTCATTTGGATTTTAGATTGTGAACTAGGGAGGATTACTGCCATCATGTAGCTTATCCATTGGATAAAAATAAAAAAATAAAGTAGTTGTTCGGATTTAGTAAAAATTAGGGCTTAGGCCACCTTCTAACTGGGCCCATTTTGCTGTAGAAATTATGTCCTTTCATGGCATCTGAAACAATCCTGAGGATCAATTCAAATCTAGATAACCTAGTTTGTCGAGAATAGAAGGCTCTTCGGCTCTCAATTTGCATATGGGTTATAGAGAGAGAGAGATTGGAGGAAGTCATCCAAAACCAGTGAGTTCTACTTGTCTACTGCCGGCAGTTGTTTGTTTCCGGTTGCCCCATGATGTTTGGTTGCCGGAGGAAATGATGGTTACTGGGGTAGGTACGAGAGAGACGTAACAATAGCAGCAGGGTTTTCTGATCTTCAAGTATTTCATTTGGATTGTATGTAAAAATAGAATGGACATTCCTCAACTTTCGGTAGAGGAATGATCATTGTAGCATTTTGTGAAACTGACCACTCCAGGATTATATGATCATCCCACCTTTAATTAAGCTTATCAAACCTCTGAAAGGGAATACAAATCTAGAATGGGCATTTCTTTCCGCTGCACCAAATGTAGTCTGAGCATCCAGACGTAAATAGTCTAGTATTAGAAATTTCCCATAAATTTCAATCATATTTTGATCCGATCACGCTCCACTTCGAGTCCCAATTCCAGAAATCTACTGCATTTGCTTGAGAAAACCCAAAAAAAAAAAAACTAACCCTAACCCTAATGGATTACTATACAGAACACCCAAGTACTCTCAACTACTGATTCATCACCTGAAAATGAAAAACCCCAAAATCCCAGTCAAAACCCCTGAATTCAAGCACCAAGAGATCACCAGACCGACGGTGGAGCTCGGCGCTTGCCAGTGAGACCTGAGAGGTGCTCGAGAATATGATGAAGACCATCAATAGTCTGAGCCAGGGTTTCACTCTTCTGGGTCTTGTTCACCTCAGATTGGGAGCTTGGATTTCGTACATTACTCGGTCTTCACCGATTCCGGAGGTCTCGATACAGAGTATGTTGGCATTTGGATTACCAATTTCGTTGGCATTCTTGCTACTGAGGTTGCAGAAGATGATGAATTTCTTGAGGAAGATGGAGGAGATTGGTAGCTTGCAGATTCTAACGGAGATTGGTAGGTTGCAGATTCTAACCCTAACTCTTCAAATTGCTAAGAATTTGAATATGTTTTTCGTGCGAGTTCGTGGGGTTTTGTATTTGTGTATTGCAGAGGCTTCGATTGGGTTGAGATGAGATGATTATTGAGTTGAAATGCTTTACCTTCCAACTTTTATGTGTTTACCTTACAACAGTAGTTTGATGGACACTGTATTTTGATACCAGGCACAAGACTATAATTTTGGGCTTATCCGTCATGGCTCACAGCTTTTTGATATAAAAATTAAACACTGAACTTGTATTACCAAGTAACATATACATTCATACATACATATATATATATATGGTCTGTCTCTCTATCAACTAGGGTGCACAAAAGAACTGTGAGCGTCGGTTCCAGTTCTCACGGTTCCGATTCCGAAATTTTGAAACCGTGGGTTCCGGTTCCGGTTCCGGTTCCAGACCCATGGGAACCGTTAGGAACCGGAACCGTATATATGTATATATATAATGTTATATATTTAATTTTATGTATTTCACTATAACGCGTTTCAGTGTTTGTAATGTTGTGTTGACAGATGACTAGATGAGTCAATAAGAATTATTACATAGCACGTGGTGGTGGTCAACAAAAACTCAAATCTCAGTTCTAAACCTAACCTCTCAAATTTCAATGCTCTCAAGTCTCATCTCAACTCTCGTTCTATTCTGAAATTTGATTGAAGCGGCCGCCTTGCCTCGACTCTCCTCATCAGTGATCAATCCTCTCCTCAGTCGTCAACTCCTCTCTGTTGGCCACTTCGCCTCAACGCCGTCGCCTCCCCTCAACGCCGTCGCTTCCCCTCATCTCTTCCTCTCCTCTGTCCTCTCTGTTTCCATCTTCTCTGTAACTCTATTTCGTGAGACGGCCTCTCAGCCTTCTTCGGTCAGTAAGGGAACAACAGGGAAAAAGTAACTTAGTGAGGAACCGTGGAACAGAACCGGTAGTCACGGTTCAGTTCCATACATGACTGTTCCGGTTCTATTTTTAAGGAACCGTTGTGACCGGTTCCGGTTTCGGTTCCTGCCGGAACCGTACAAAACCGAATCGTGTGCACCCCTACTATCAACAAGATATTTGCAAGTGTAAAGAAGTGAACACTAAACAAACAGCCACTCCCTGTCCCAAAATACTTCGTAGTTGAATACTTTAGAAACTGTAACTCACATTAGTTCTGATTGCATTAGCATTGCATGCATGCAATTTTAAATAAATAAATTTACTTTATCAAAACTTGAGAGAATTAAAAGCTAGAATACTCAAAAGCACAACCTTTGTGTTTGCTAAAGCACAAGGTAATTCATTATGAGTCACTGCTTCGGCTTCTGAGATAGATTGTTTCTTTATAGGAGCCCAAGAGAAATTAGTACGTGGTAAAAAAAAATAAAGGCCCAAACTTATATGTTAAGAGAGAGAGAGAGAGAGAGAGAGAATTCAGTTCATATGTGAGGTCTGGTCCCATTTTTCATTTTCTCGACAATTTTTCAAATTTTTGTGTATTTGATTTTCCGATGGGTGGGGAAGCATGCCATGGGTTCTATATATATATATATATTTAGACCATTTTTTCGAGTTTAAAACTCTTATAAATGTATTTTGGACATTTCTACCCATTTTGGATTTTAGGGTCCGGGTTTTGTGTTCTGCATTGATTCAAGGCTGCAAAAACAATGGGCGAGTTCAACGGGTGGGAATAATGAATTGCTCTGTATAGATATGTCATGAATATAAATTAGGATTCTCAAAAATCTTACAAATATGGCATGGTCATACAATACAAGGAGCATGTTTCCTAACGTCTAGTCTAAAAGGGAACCTAAATAGGATCATCCTAGTCTAGCATAGGTAAACTTAATCCACTAATCAAGGCAATCATGAACAATATAGTGAAATGAACTTAAATTCACAAGTTGCAATAACACATTAATGTCAACTTGAAAATAAAAATCGAAATCAATCAATGAGATAACTCGGAATACACACTCACACCCGGTCACATAGCATGGCTATGCACTTAAAATAAAATGGTCGTTCTTGGGTTACTAACTCATGGTCGTTCTTGGGTTACTAACTCACCGGAAATCAACCAATTATCCAATGTAAAATAAGAAAACTCATGTTTCGTTCGCGAGCGCCAAGATATGCATTCTCAAGGTAACAACCTCCAAATATCTACCAAAATCAACAACTAAATTACACCTCACAAGCGCACATAAACTATACTAATACCACAATCAATGCCTTATGGTCCGAATCATTACAATGGCATATTCATTGATGTAATGTTAACAAATTGAGCATTTTAACGTCATGTAATTTAATGCAAGCATTATATCAAATATAAAGTGTGCAAAAATTCAACATCTTCGTATTAACATAGTTTTTAAAGGTAAACCTCACAAGATCATAAATACATGATAGTTTCATAAGAAAGCAAAACATGAATGGCACTTTATCATATACACCAATTTTTGTTACTTAACAATCATCCATAATGTCAAGAATGGGTCAAATAAACATATTATACATGAAATTCAATATAATGACTTAATGAACATTATGGATATGCAAATAATTCATCATATAAGCTCTCTAATTCAACATCCACACACAAATGTATAAACAACCCACACAATGCTCATAAAATCTCAAGAACTCCTAGGTTATAAACATAAAACCCTAGACACTCCAAAGACAAATGAGCTCCAAATCCGAAATTGATTGAGGGGTTATGTAGCTACCATAGTCCCCGTTCTTTTTTCTGAAAATTCATTAACACATAAAAATAATCCAAAGTGCATTTCTAAGAATTCTAAACTCAAATAAACACTCTAAATGAATCCTGAGAGACACGTATCCCATACACAAAATGCACACACGAAAAATGAGGAAAATACCAAAAAAAAAAAAAAAAAAAAGGGATTTGAAGCCGGACCTCACAATTTTATCATCACAGACTCACAACACGTATACCTTACAAAAATCTAAAAATGGAAATAAATAAATAAAAACTTAAATAATTTTCTTTAGGAATTGTTCTAATTTTTCAAAATTTAATTTTTGAAAAAATGTTAGTATTTTAATTTTGTTCTAAAATATATCATTATTATCTTGATGAAAGACTAAAGTGCTATTTGATAAAATTGAAAATTAAGCATTGAAAAGCTCAAGTACTAAATTTTAAGCACTGAAATTTTAAGTGTTGAATGTAATAACCTAAAAACTTGTTTGATACTGTATTAATTTTAGCGTTGAATTCATTAAAGTTGTTTGTTAAATGCAAAAGTTGAAATCTGAATATTGCATATATTACATGTTTTTCTTGAATATCTTCTACACATAATATTCTTATAAAAGATACTAGTACTATATTATAATATAAACACATATATAAAATAATGAATTTCCCCAAAGAAATATATCAATTTAAAAATGGATATTAATGCCAAAATTGATCATAAAAATTCCAAAATCAAAATATAAAATGAATAATTTACGAAAATGAAACATTTATGAAAAGGGGATTAGAATTCAAGCACAAATCATCCTATTTTTATTTATATAGTAGTTTTACACCGTAACAATGGTGAAACAATGGTGAGGGGTTGCATCACATGACTATAAACTTGGGTGAACGATGCTGTGTGTGTGTGTGTGTATATATATTTATTTATTTATATTTTGTTGAATATCATTTGTATTCACATTATTTAAGGAGGAAAAGTGCAAAACTATTATTGAGAAATTGGAGTAAATTAAAGACAAAAATCCATCGGGATCAAAATCATATCTGGATATGGGTTTTTCATCAAATGATCTTGATCCATCTTTAAGAGCTACTTATATGCAAGAAGAAGATGATGATGAAGTCATAAAGTTTAGCAAAGTTACTTAAAGATTTGTGAAAATCTCAAATCCATTCACAAAGGAAATATTCTCCTTTATGAAGATCACTTTAGCTCCCTGTTCCTCAGTAGATCACCACCATGATCATTGTAGTTATGCCTTTAGGAATCGCCAATATGCCTCCATGAAAGACCACTTGTAAAAGCCTCTATTAGATGAGAACGCATAACCTTAAAATTCTAGAGAAAATATTTATCTTCACGCATTAATGATACCCAAAAATTTACTAACAATACATATCATATATTTATTTATAGTCACATAGTGTGTCAAAAGTAATTATCAATCTCTAATAATTAAAGTGTTATTTCTAATCTAATATATCTCCAATATCAAATTAGGCTATAGGTGAGAATCATTTGGACTTACTATCTTCTTGGCTCTAATTAATTTATAATTGACCCGGTCCATTATACCGTGACCTAATTCAATTAATTGATAAATTAATTTCTACTCCACTAAAAAAAATTAATTGACTTTCAATTAGATGCTAAATAACCACTAAGTCAATGTTGCACTTTGACCCCTATATGTATAATTAGCTATCGGATAATTGTAGTTATCAATCTGACCGCATAATTAATATATTTTATTTTGGTTCCTTGATTATTTCTCGATTTGATTACAATAAAATATTTGTTTGACAAAAATTATTTATTTAGTAAATAATACATAAAAATTATTTTGTCTAAAATGATTAATACGTTGTGATCAACTATAATCAATACAAAATAAATACAAGTAACAACGATACAAAAAGTGAGAATATAACCCGCTAACTATTAATTACATAATTACTCGGTCATAGAATCTCAAAGGTTCCGCATGATGATGATAGAAAGCAATTGCATATGACGACTCTCGCAATATATCTCAACCCATCGCGCTGATCCGGTTCAAGTCATAGTTAATTAAGAATCCATCTTTAATTACCAACTATGAACTATTTATGATTGCATCATCAAATACATATAAATATCTATTGCAACCAAGTGAACGTATTCAATTCCATCATAAATCAAAAAACATACTACATTAGTATTAACCAGGTGTATAATACATAAATATCATTTCAAATAAGGAACAATGTCTATACAATTCAACTAAGAATTTTGCGGGCATACAAATCCCAACAATGCTATATTTGTAAATAAAATTTCAAGAAAACAAAATTACTGTAATGGACGGAAGAAAATTTAAAAATCAGAAGCTCAAATGCATGACCGGAAAACCTTTCGTTCCAATTATAGGCATCGTTAAAATTCAAGTCAAAGGTCACCGCCACAAATCACATAAGCGCAGGTAAAGCCAGTTGGACATGAGTGTCCACGGAGAGTTCAAGAATGACCAACGACGAGAAGGTAGACTAATGTGATTACCATGTCAAACATAATAAACAACCAAGTAAAAAACATATGTACATACATACACACACCCGCAAAAGAGAGCATATCTTTTTTACTTATTATCAATGAAAAATGGATAAATATAAATACTCGAAAAGAGAGAAACAATTCATCAGTCACTAACCTTATATTACTACTAACAGTATAACTAGAAATTTGATTAATCAGCAAATAAAAAGTCCAAAAGTCTATTCAAGACATAGATGTCACTTTTCAATTCACCACCAGCCTCCCCGCAAAAAAATGAAACAAAATAAAACAATACTATTTTTTCTTTCCATTCTTTACCCCAAGTAATATCCCAACCACACAAGATTATAGCGTTCTGGTGACAAAACTATGATGTGTTGGGTTACATTTAGTTGGAGCAGTTGCAATTGGGACTCCGGCAAGAAAGATAATTTGGTGAACTAGGCAGTTCCAGAATTCCCATTTGTTTTAGACTCTGATCATGCGGTTCCAGGAATCCCAGTTGTTTTCGTGTCTGTTCAGGCAGTTTCGGAATTCACATTTGTTTTAGTCTCTGTTCGGACATAAGTGAGACTACGAGGAGTAACGTTACTGGATGTTGGAGTCCCACTGGCAGGTGGAGTGGGCTGCGCATCCCGCTTCCACTGCATGCTCCTCGCACCAGGTTTGATTGAAAGGTTAGGCCTATACACATTAGGCATACCTCTTGGGAAAGGAACTCTGGGAAATCTAGGAGCAGCAAACGGCGATCCTCGTGCAATGCGGGGCCATGCAATTATAGGTGCAGCTTCTTGATGAGCAGAGCTTTTTCTCGTGACCTGCAACAAAAGCACATGGAGAAATTTTTCTTTCAACAAAACATCTGTGTGAAATAAAAAACAAACAAATGAATAGATTAGCACGCATAGATACTGCCACGGTGACTACTACTAACGACCTAGTCTGGTGCATTCACACACACCAAATATAAAAAAAGGTACAGGTTGTCATTCATGAAAATATCACATTTCACATTATTTTATCCAGCTTGTTTTGTGTATAGAACTTCAGACACCAACAATGTTTCTGGGATTTCATTTAAATTCCAATGCCAAAAACCTGGATTTGATGAGGTAACATGGAGAACAGACCCCTAATTCATCTATAGATTTTCCATAAATTGACTCACTTGCAACTAAATGAACTGATATGCTCTGATATTCGTCCTTTGACTTTTGAAACAATCTAATAGTGATGCCATGAGACTCTTCATGTGTCAAGCATTACAAATTGCAGATGAAACTTTCACATCCCTTGGATTGCTTATACTTTCACATCTAGTACGCGGACAAGAGTAGTACAATTGCACGAGTAGTTTCCACAATGCTTATTACGAGACTACCAAGTACAGAAAATTACCATTCACCACCAGCTATAGCAGCCCTAGGATTTGATGCATCACATTAGTTATATTTTACAATGACTTGAATGGGAACACCCCTTATTCCAGCAAGGTAGGTGCCACACATCAATGGCACATGTTATAGGAACATTAGCAGAACATTACTCATGCATTTTGACAATTGGTGTACCATAACAAGCAATAAATCCACCATAGTGCCTAGAAACCTTAGCACTTGCTGAAACAGCACTCCACATTAAAACAAAACTTTTTTTTTTGTCAGAGGAGCACTCCAACAACACATCTTACCACTGTCAGTAAGCAGCAACGTTGATATGGTATTAAACCTCTGACCAATCAAATGCAAAACCTTGTTTTGATATGATTACTTTTATTCAAAACAACAGACCAGAAACGGATGTTCAAAAGCTAGGGCAATAGACAACTACCAAACATTTGAGAGCTTTCATAGAAACCAGAAAAATCAACCCAAACAATAACGCATATAATTTAACAGGAAAAGGTTCAAAGACCATTTCTAACAGAACATAGCATACCTTAAGAATGCGTGACATAAAGGAGGTACCATCCAGAGATAAAGCATGTTCCGCTGCATCTTTTCTCATGAACTCTACATAGGCTGACCTGCTCAAGCAACATCATTTAGCAAAGAATGACCAACAAGAATGCACTGGTCTTTACAGATAGATTTTAGACATTAATAAGGTAGATGGGAACTTGTATATGAAACACCTCACCCTTTGGGTTGCCCTGTGGCTGCATCAGTTACTATAACCACTTTGAGCACTTCACCAAACTTGTTGAAGTGACGAGAAAGACTATCCTTGGTGGCAGCAAAATGAACCTGTGAAAGCCAACAAAAAATTATGCATGAAATTGAGAATGTTATCCTTTCTAACTAATCCAGAAGGATAGGTCTAGCATCAGGGATAGACTGGATAGTCGTGAATTACATTGTTAACAAAAATGGTACGCGAATCAGCATCTTCTGTAGGACGACCAGCAGAATATCCTGACACAGCACAGCCACCCAAACAATTAGAAAATTCAAGAACAGGGGAAATTATATGTGGTGTATAAACATATCCCAACCAAAAAAAAAGAGTTGTGGCGTTAAGGACTTTGTAAATTAAAAGGATCCTGTGAATACCCAAAAAAAGGAACAAAAACCAATATGTTTTTAACTGATAATAAACCTACCAAAAAAAAAAAAAATGCATCAAATTTTGCTCTTAAATAACCAAAAAAGTTGCACAAAACTTCAGTACAAAATTCAAAACCCACCTGTAGCGGATGGTAGTGTCCTCTGAGACTCTGTCCCAGTAACAACAGCAGGTTTTGCCTATCCAGTACAGAAAATAAAGAAAATAAGTTACAACGAGGGCACAAATTTTATAGCAGAGAACCAAAATTCACGCAGACGCACGCCCACATGGACATACTAAAACACATCTGTAATGCATGTACACAAGTATCAGGCATATATCTTACATTTCCATTATCAACCATTACAGGGTTGCTATTCTCCTTCATCAAACGTACCCCAGATTTGCCAGCATCACCTTCCTCACTTTCCTGTACAGATTTCCGACTATCCACTTCTGAAGTCTCCCTCTGCTCCTGAAAATGAGATGGTTTCCACGTATTTACATTCACAGATATATTCACTATCTTACGTGAAGTGTTTGCTACAGAAGCAGGTTGATCCTGATCTCTTCGTAGTTTCCGTGAAATTTCATCAGCGTTCTCAGCTACACTACTGTACTGCACCATCAGCGAGTCGTCACCCTTGTTTCCACCAGATGTGCCAGTCTGAGAAACATCCTTAAGACTACGGCCCATAACATTGATATCATCATATCCTTCATTATCAGACGCAGAATCAGAAGCCATACCAGTATCACTTTCCAACATCGTCATTTTTCCAACATACTGTCCTCTGTAGTCAATTCCTTGAAGATAATCGGAATGGGTCTCCTCTGGAATTCGATCAAAATCTCCTTCTACATCTTTGACAGCAGCTTCCCTAAATTCTTTTAGCTGGTTACTGCCCTGTGGTTTATCCGTACCTCGACCAAGCCGATCAAACACGTTGACTGAAGATCTGACTTTTCCTACACCTTTGGCAGCTTCTGCTACAGCTTTAATAGCAGTTGCCATGCCATTTGATACTCTTGCAACTGACCGAATTCTTTGGGGACGATCTTCAAGAGACGAATCACCAGTTGTTGTAGAAACCACAGAACGTAGGCGCTTCAATGCAGGCTCTGTTGTTGACTTGGAGGGCCTTGAAGTGCCCACTGCATCCCGTACTGCAAATTGCAGCAGCCTTCGAGGAGCATTAATGGTTGCTTGAGAAACTGCTTCCCTCTGCCAAAAAGCAAACAAATAGATGAGAAAATGTCAAGAAACAATGGGCAAGGTGTATAGTCTCTAAGGAGCATGAACCTAATTTTACATTGTATGTGCAAATGATGGCATAAAATCCTCAAACATGAACGAGCAGTAGGGCATTTGTCCAGTTGGTTTCTCAATTAGTTCAAGTTAGTAGATCATAATTCATATACGATTAAACAAAGTGATGTTATGAGGAGATATAACCATGATCACCATAAAATGGAATCTTGAAATGCCTTTTTATTTCAGACAAGATTTATGAATCAAGCAACATAAATAAAACCTCACGCAATGCCATACAAAACAATCAATCATTTTACTTCCATGGGCCCATGAAATATTTTCTTCATTCTGATAATCGGAAAATAATTATATGTACTATGTAATGTTGAGTTGTACAATGCTTGGGAGATAATGCTTCTCTAAGTGTGCATATTCATCATTCAAGATCATTAAGGGATATTATCAGTTCTTTACTTTTGATGTGCTTGAAACTCTTTAAAACAGAATGAACTAAATCCAAAAGTGACAATATGTTAGGTCCACCATATGCTGAAAGTGTGCACCCATGTTGCAATGATGATTAACAAGCATGCTTTGCAAAGTGCGGTTAGGAGTTGAAGGCAACCATTTTTACTGTTAAATAAGTATATTGAAGAACACATGCAAAACGTTTGAAAAAGTTCACAGCCTGTTGTTATGAAGGCATGATAAACTAATATATACTTGGCACCAGATGTGCAACTTGAAGAAGGTCCAGAAAGATCCATCACTAGACCCTTTGTTGGAAATATTATAAGCTAAAAAGCATACTACTAAGATTTTGCAATCAAAATGCGACACTAAACCTGGCTTATCCAGGAACATACAAGCCTATCAACTAGGTACAGTAGCTGGTCAGAACATGAGCCATTTAGACAGGACTGGTAGTGGAATTTCTGTCTTAGTGTGCGTGAGCATGTGTTTTTTGAAATTTTTTGAGATGGGTCGAAGTATCCTGAATGCATGTAAAAAATGTAGTATGCCACTTCCATACATGTACCTAACTTTCAAAAGTATACAAAAAATCACATATATAATAAGTTCTTTCCGTATCTAAATAAAAGATTTAAAAAATGCACCATAAGCAATAATGAAATATATATGTATATATATATTATCAGTCATAACCAAAAGAAAAGAGAGAGAAAGTAAAGATAAAGTTATCTTTTAAAAAAGTCAACTTGATTACCAAGTTATTTAATTAAGCAGAAAATGTTGAAATACTAAAACTCACTAGCCATTTCATGTTGATTTTCTATAAACTCCACCGTTTAACCTTTCTAATTGTTGGTATCCACCAAGTTTCTCACCCAGTGATCTAAAGGGTAAAAGAGAACAAGAAATAAATAAATTATATCCTAGATCCAACCAGAACTCAGTCAACACATTCAAAATTTGTGAGGGGAAAAAAAAAATCAAAACTACTCTACTAGAAGGAGAGAGGCTCCAACTCAGTTTAAATTTCCTTGGTTTTTAGACATGAATCGCCACAAATAAAACTATCAATGAAATAAATAATATACAAAAAGATATAACAATAAACTCAGTTTTGCAGTAAATGTGCTAGTAAATATTAACAAATTAGAAGAAATAAAAAGGAACTCACTATCCTTAAAAGTGAAAGGGGGTATACACAGGCTGCTCAAACAATTGCATGAAAATGATAACCATTGTCAAGTCATTTCCTATTCTAAAATTTTAAGAACACTGGCTCCAAGCATATAATTGATGACATGTCCATGGAAATTAATAAAGGAAAGAGTATCAACATGCTTTCATGAAAATCAATTAAGCTTATAATCTCAAGATATCTAAAGAGGTAAGAGAAATCAACTTTTCCAAATTTATGAAACATATAACCATATCTCTCATAAGAATGACATAAATAAATAAAACTCAAACCTTTGCTGCTTGTCCTTCGTCGGGCCGACTTCTTTTCTTCTGAACCATAGGTTGGGGAGAGAGAGATCGTTTTGCACGACCAACTTTGTGATAAGTTCTCTCCTCTGCACGAGCATTGTCATTCACAGAGCTTCGAAGAGGCGGTGGTTCATCTGAATCCCTTATTAGTCCTTTCCACTCCCTATTCCGCCGGTTACTCAATATTTTATTAGACTTTCCTACTTCAGAATTAGATACCAAGGGCTGAGAATCATTTCTTCCAGCCTGCTCCACAGACATTAATTTTGTTTTGGCTGCTTCATCAGGATAAGATTTTGAAGGTTGTACATACAGATGCACATTTGATCCTAAGTGATCCCACAGCCTGTAGAAAAAAAACAATATTAGTGTTGAGAAATGAAAATAACTTGGAGCTCAGTAGCTTTAGGAACTCAATAGAAATCAATTACCAAGATACGAAAGAATAATTGTCATCACCCAAAAAGACATTCAACTCATTCCTTGCTTCTTCTTTGCGCCTACCATTTTTAAGCAAGACTATCACATACTCCTGCAAAATGCATTTAAGGAAATTGAGTAAATTTTTCATCAGTCTAGACAAGTGGTCAGCTATGTTTGTATAGCATGATGAAAAGTTCCAAAATTCCACACATATAAGCAGAAAATATGTCCCACTTTTGTGAGACATGCAAAACCTCATATCCAAGATACAGAGCCAAAGGCAATTAAATGGTCATGAACTGCAAACCTTTGGCAGATTTGACAGCATAACAGGGCAAACTTCCAAAAACACTACGAATATATGAAGAAAGGACTTCCTAGGGGAAAAAGAAAAAGAAAAAGAAAAAGGAAAGAAAGAAGTATACAATAAAAAGTAAAAACTGATAAGAGTTAAAATACAAAACCCTTTGACAGATTAGATGTCATCCCAACTAAACAGCCATTGCCAAGTGTCCATCCCACCTATGCAATGAACCTAAGCCCCATGCAAAGACTATACACTTCAAGAGCATTAAATACTAAGTGTGTCTCGAGCTAAACAACGTTATCAAAACCGCCTGCAATTAAGAAACTAGCTCAAATTATTTTTCCAGCAATGAATGCCAAACGTAGTATTTGAGCATACATGACTCAAGGTTTAAACAGGCCTTTTCAATAGCTCATGAATGCCAAAAGTAGTATTTTTTCCAGCAATGAATGCCAAAAGTAGTATTTGAGCATACACGATATAGACCAATCTGCAGCAATATTTTGTGCCAAATAGCCACTCTCAGGTTTAAACAGGCCTTTTCAATAGCTCAACTTTTACCATTGCACCAAGCAATGACCCTAAGCCCCATGCAAAGACTATACACTTCAAGAGCATTAAATATTAAGTGTGTCTCGGGCTAAACAACATTATCAAAACCGCCAGCAATTAAGAAACTAGCTCAACTTATTTTTTCCAGCAATGAATGCCAAAAGTAGTATTTGAGCATACATGGCTCAAGGACTACATTGCATTGTTTTATTCCTATTTTGGTACAAAAAGACCTTTCTTGATGCCTTCCATAATGCTAATGAAGACTAAAACCTAAAACTAGCAAGCACTAATTTTTTTTTTTTTTTTGATAAGTAAATAAAAAAAAAACTAGCAAGCACAAAAAATAATTTTAACAACCAAGCAAATGTACCAATACTTGGTGCAAGCACAACAGGAAATCAACCATTAAATTTTTAACTAAGATCTATCTTTCGCTGGTCATTTGGTTATTCAGAAACAAACTTCCAGAACTAAATCATCATAAGAGAAAGAAAAAAGGGAGAGGGAAACATCTGAAGACAATCACATCAAAAAATTCAATTACCTTGATGCAATTACCAAGTCTTGATGCCACCAATACAAGATGCTAGGGATACACTGGTATAAAAATAACTTCTGCCATTATTTGTACAAATGACTATTCTTAGTGTCAAATCTACAATTTTCTTCTAGGATTTTACCGCTACCTTAAAAATTCAAAATCTTTATGCGGAGGGGGATATAAGAGAGACTGTTTGGCTTGAATCTGTAATGTGGAGGCACCATCAACTTTTTCTTTTTTTTTGTGCAATGGCAAGACCCCAACTAAAGTTTAGAAAATTAGCAAATAAAATCAAAGTCGTCAATCTCTGAGACCCATGTTATGGTGAAAAAGAAACCAACAAAACAAATTCGACGTCTCTAAACACCAAGACCAAGGGAAACAAAAGTTTTTAGCAAAACATCACAAACTTCTAGAAAGATTCAACCTTCAAAAAAATCATGTTTTCCCTTCCAATCTAACCAAAGAAGAGTTTGGGAAATGGCATATGTTAACTAATATTGAAAGTAACTTCAAAAGCTCACTCTCACCATTACCCAATGATCTCAAAAAGAGAGGAAACCAGCCGCAACACTAGGCCACTTCACATCCCACAGAAAGAACCAGCAATTGCACACCCTAGAGGCACATGCTAAACCATTCCAAATGGACCAATCTATTAACCAACACGATCTCTTACTCCAATGCTATTCTAACCCAAAAAAAAGGCCACCAAAAGAAAGAGGATGTAGAGCATCAAAACAGTTAACCTAAAAAAAAAAACACACTGACCTGCTTTTCTATTAAAACATTAAAAAACTCCCCATAACATCAACCATCTAACTTTTTTTCAGAACTTTCTTCTTTTCTGAAAATTCATGAAACCACCCTGCATTCTCTAATTATTTAACCAATAAAGAAACTGCGACCATTATTTTATCTTCAAGGAGAACAGCTATTGTAACATCAACTAGTAACTACAGAATGATCATAGACAGCAGCCAAGAATTTTACCAAAGGTAGGGCCACAACGGTCATTAGTCAAGTTTGGATACAAACAAACCTTTGGCATTATATGTTGCATGGGCATGGACTTTGGATTTCGGACTATATTAATTCTCTTTTTTCCTTTTACTTATCAAAAAAAAAAAAATTAATTCTCTTTTTACCTTCCCTAAAGTGTCCAAGTATTTGGAATCCTTATTAAACCTTACCCAACAATGATTATTATTTAGAAAATATCACATTTTAGCACGTTTTCTAAATCTCAGAAAAGTACTGCCTATATCTTTGAAATAAAAAATTCTATTTGCAAATTATGAGCGGATTATAAAGTATCAGAGACTTATCTGTGCATTATCCAAAGAGTGTCAGTATCTCATATGAATAAGATATTGATATGACTCGCTTATAGAAGTATCCCTACTTCATAGGAGTCCAACAATCCTATTGTTGTTAGGGAGATCAATATCTCTGATTCATAATAAGTTCATAGGAAACTATCTTAATACATTCTATTGTTATTTAATATTACAAATAATGGACTTACTCGGATTAAATATTCATATTATGTAAATTCATCATTTGACAGTAAAATATAGGAGAAGAAAAGCAAGGAACTTTAATAGTTCAGTTATATCCCAAATTCCAAAAAGTCATAAGCTCTCTAGGCACATATCCACAGCTGGGAAAAAGAAAAAAGAAAAATGACTACAAAAAGGAGGAAAAGCATAAATAGGAAATTCAAACTTCATCTCACTTTCCAAACGACTTATTGCTTCTCATACCCAAGGGAACTGTCTTAAATAGAAAATGAAAAATGAAACTACACTCAAAGGTAAAAGTAGCTGAAAAGGTACATACAAAAATTGTTCAATGTTCAAACACCCAGTGCAAATTGGATTCTTGATAAAGATATCGTGTCATTGTGCCTACGTATTATCACCCTCTCTTCCAAATCCCAATTCTTTGGGCCAAATGACTCTCCTCGGGAGTTATATCCTTCACTAACATTGTCACACATTAAGATTGGTGCACAACAAATCCAACACTGTGATGCATATAGGCACCATTACATAGTATCGCCTTTGTAACAAAATTTCTCTCTTTTTTTGACATCCCTCCCGTGTGATTGACTGACCATTGCTGAACACAATCAATAATACGAATATAGGAAATTCAGAGGGTATTATGTGCACTTCAAGGCAAAGAATGGAACACTACGTGTACAACAGGAGAGCAAAGTTCAATTCCCAGAGTCTACTAGAACAAATTCATGGCCTCTATAGATTGATATGAAAGAAAGAATTCAACACAAATAACAAAAAAGACATTGACATATAAGCAAATGGATCAAAAATCCATATCCCTATATTAAGCTCATTCCATAACAAACCTTATTTATCACTCCAACAACATACCAGCAACTCGTATTAAAAAAATAAATAAATAGATAAAAACATAATTAGGGGACAGATACGGCAAGGATACCACAAAAAATAATAATATAATATATTATTATATATAGAAAATAATTTTTGCTCATTTTATCCACATTATCATGAATGAAATTATTAATTTGGAGCTTAAAGCTAGATTTTGTTATTTTTATTTTCTAAAATTTTATTTTAATTTTCTAATTAACCCATAATATATTTCAAAATTGCATCAGAATCACATTCTTCTAAAAAAAATTATTACAAAACTGTCCCGCCGCGTCTTGGAGTGTCTCAAATGGGTCCCTACTGTTTCACATCACTGTTGTGTCCAACCAAAGAAAAATAAATGAAATACCATGACACTTCTACATATGTCCGGACTATGTCCGAAACCGCCATGACGCTTATTGGAGAAGTGTCCGTGCTTAGTTCCACAGCATGCACAGATAAATAAACCCTAAATTATTCCACAAGAGTATCGTGGTGTAAGCCTTCATCCACGACACTTATTGGAGAAGTGTCTGTGCTTATTGGAGAAGTGTCTGACAATTAAACCCTAAATTATACCACAAGAGTGTCGTCAGTGTAAGCCTTCGTGAACTCATTCAGCTTCTCATTCACTCTCTCTGGCAACTTTGCCGCTCAGTTGCCGGTGGAATTAAGCTTTAAAATCCAATCATCAACTCGATCCGCATCGTCCACCTCCTAGGACATCCCTCAAAACCAATTCACAAACTCATTTTGGCCTCCATAGACTGTAATTAAAATTATCCTAATCATAATCTACAACTCCATAGATATAGTTCAATACACAAACAAGAAATAAACACGTGAAACAATAACTGGACCTTATGGATAATCAGTGGTGAGTGAAGTTGTGCGAAGAACAATCCACCAATGGGGGAATGGGAGAGATGTAGGAATATTGATGTTTTGATACCAATGGTGACTGGACTAGATATAACTGCAATTCATACAAGTCATTAACTAGGAACAAACAAACCCATTCCCAAATTTCAACTTGTGCGTTTTAAAAGATATGCTCCATTTGGTAGGAGGGAATGATGGAGGAATTAAGCAAGTTTCTGTTGTTTGGTAGGATAAACAAGAGGGAAAGGAAGGATGGATTGATGAGCCATCCCTCCTAAATTTTTATCCCCTCAAAATTGGACAGAAGAGAGAAGGGAAGACAAGAATTACTATTATGTATAATGTGAAGTCATTATTCCCCTTAATTAATTTGGAAAATTTATATAATGATAGTATAAAAGTAAGAAAATATAAAATCT